CCAGGACAGGGCCCAAAAGGGAAAATTAACCAATATTTCAAAAATCTTCTCCAGACTCAGAGGTATTACAGTCATTTCTTCTGCATGGATGGAAAGATCATCAGGGGCTTTATCTAAATTGTAAATTTCAAGACCCCCGAGCTATCCGTTCTCCCTCGGGGAGGGGGTAAAGTTTACTAGTTTATTTAGGGAAACAACACTTTTGGGTATATTTTGACAATTTTCTGATGGAAATTATTCTTACTCGGTGAGAATTATCCTTGAAGGAAGATGGTTTTAAATTGTAAAATTGGGATTCCTGCCCCAACCCAAGGGGCCAGGGCGGGGCCCCAAAGGGAAAATTAACCAATATTTCAAAAATCTTCTTCCCTCCCCATGGTTATTCAGAAGAGGTCGTTAAAAGGTTTTAAACAAATTTGACCCCTGTGACCTTGAATATAAGTCAAAGTCATTCACTTTAACAAACATAGTAGTCCTTGATCCCAGCATGCTACTGACTAAATATCAACATCCTGAGCCTTTTGGTTATTCAAAACAAGTTCTTTAAATATTTTGAACATATTTGCTCCTTGTGACCTTGAATATGATTCAAGGTCATACATTTAAACAAACTTGGTAGCCCTTGATCCAAGTATGCTACTGACTAAATATCATCACCATGGGGATTTTGGTTATTCAGAAGAAGTCGTTTAATGTTTTAACAAATTTGACCCCTGTGAACTTGAGTATAGGGGAAGGTCTGTCCCCAAATTTTGTTCCTGGCTGATATCTTTAGTATTTATTGACCGATGTACATGAAAACTTGGTCGGGATGTTCAGTTCATAAAAATACCTTTGAGGTAAAAAGTCAAGGTCAAAGGTCAAGGTAAATAGGTTCACAGGTCAAGGTCAAATTTTACATCTTTTCACTGATGAACATTTTGTTATGACATTATGAAGCAAAGTTGATCAGAATTAAACAAGGATTCAACTGGCCAAAGGTCAAGGTCATCGGGTCAGGGGTCAAGGTCAAATTTTGTAGCTTTTCACTAGTGAACATTTCGCTATGACATTTTGAAGCAAAGTTGTTCGGAATTAAATAAAGAGACACACTGAGGTAAAAAGTTGGGGTCAAAGGTCAAGGTCATGAGATTCAAAGGTCAAGGTCAAATTTTGCATCTTTTCACTGATGAACATTTTCTTATGACATTATGAAGCAAAGTTGATCAGAATTAAACAAGGATTCAACTGGCGAAAGGTCAAGGTCAGGGGTCAAGGTCAAATTTTGTAGCTTTTCACTGGTGAACATTTCGCTATGACACTTTGAAGCAATGTTGCTCCTAATTAAACAAGGAGTCAATTGACCAAAGGTCAGGGTTACTTGGTCAAGGTCAAGGTAAAAATGTACCTTTTCCCCGATGAACATTTTGTTATGACATTATGAAGCAATGTTGTTCAGAACTTAACAAGGAGTCAACTGACCTTAGTTCAAGGTTACTGGGTCCAAAGGGTCAAGGTCAAGTTTTGTATTTTTCACTGATGAACATTTTGTTATGACATTAAGAAGCAAAGTTGGTCGGAATTAAAGAATAAGTCAACTGACCAAAGATCAGGGCCACTGGGTTAATGGTCAAGGTCATTTGGGTCCAAATGTCAAAGACAAAATGGGTCTCTGACTTTGACCCTGGCTCTTGATGGAGAAGGTATATAAGGTGAAATAAAACAAATCAAATCTAACAAATGAGTATTGCACAAGTAATTACATTTCTGTTAGCCCAGCAAATATGGAGGTGGAAGGAAACACATCACATCTTAGTACATGCTAAATGTATATTTTGCTTCCTTGCGATTCTTTTTGAAGTCCAAATATCAGACGTCAAGCTCAGTTATATGGGCAGATTGCTTCTTGATGATTATGGGGGATATAATTGCCACAAGACGGGGCCCTTACTGACCTGTCAGTGTTCTAGTTTGCTTCTACTTTTACAGAATTTTCTCTTGGCCTAAAATTAGAAGTCGAAGAACTCTTGGCCTTTCTACTTGAGGTAGATTTCTTTTTATCGTTATTTTCTGACTTTTGGTTTTGGGGTAACTTCTTGTCTAGTAGCTTACTTCTTTGCTTTATTGTTAATATCTGACCCATTGTGCTATCAGATTGGGTTATGGAACAGTCTTTTTTGAGGTTTCCACAGGTTTGTGTGGACTACTCCCTGCTATACAGCCTCACATTCTACAGCAGAGGAAATAGCCTCCTCTAATGTTTCAGGGTAGCTTAACGTTACTGTTTTTTATTTCAAGGTTATTTAGACCGTTTATGAATTGATCTATTACTTGACACTCTAGGTAATGATAGGGTAAATCTGGACAGGCTAGTAATGCGGTCCTTCGTAAAGAATACCCAAAGTCCGAAGCTGACTTGACTTTACCCTGTTTTTGTCCCCTAAATGTACACCTATGGGCCACACTCCTCTTCTAAGGCTTGAATTTCTAAGCCCTACCGTTAGATTGCGTAGCAGCTTTTGGGTTGTGCCCATTAAACTCATACTTAGTTGATGGGCTTTTTCTGTGTCGGTCCAAGCATTCCAGGCAGCTACCTGTTCAAAGTGCACGAGATAGTCTTGCCAGTCACTACTGGTATCGTTAAATGTATCTGGATGTTTTTCTTTTCTATGCACCCTAAATCCTGACAAATGTTTGTAAGATTCTATCACTGATAGAACTTTCTACTCTTAAGAATCGAAATATTCCGCCTCATCATCATACAGATCGAGCGCTCGCCAGAATGGGCGTTGCCAAATGACCGACTTTTGAAAGCTTCTTTCCGATTGGCCAGTCCGCTGCAGAATGATACGTCACCAGTGCAGGTCACAAAGTAATTTACTACGTACTTTTGTACAAGGAAATACAATGTTTCTAAACATATAAGCGTAGTATATTTGTTAAGGTGTGTTATAATGGGGATAGTTCGTTGCTTTTCGTGTCTATAATGGCAATTAGAACATGAAATTTGGTTTAAACTTTCAACCTATCGGTCTCGAGTTCCAACCCAAATTTCATCCCTAGTTGAAAATACCCAAATTAATATCGACACAATCCAATCATTTGTGACGATTGATATTCCCCGATGGCCTCTGTTTCACCGGAAGTTAATCTCTCACTTCATGATACATCCAAATCTGTCGCAGAATCTTACTTTTTTCGATCAAATTTCTCAAAACTGCAGTTATATAAGGATTTTCAGTCGTTTTATACTGACGGTACGAAATATAATCATAGTTGCCGCGGCGCCTAGCATAAAATACTACTGCTGGATGACGGCTGCGCAATGATGCGTCAATATTCTCCGCAGAAGCCCATGCTATTTATCTCGGCCTCAAATCACATAATGTACCGCAATCAGTTGTCTATTATCATTTTCTATCTGTTCTACAGAGCCGTCGAAAAAGAAATTGAAGAATATCTCAATTAGAAAAATCTTACATACATAAAATTTCCTCAAAATGTCATATTATATCTTGCTGGGTTCCCGGACATGTAGGGATACAAGGTAATGCAAAGGCAGATCGTGCCGTGAAAGCAGAACTAGTTCTGCCACCTGAAGTTTGTTGCCCTTCATCCTAGCATGCTTCTGACAACAACCTTGGTAGCCCTTAATCCTAGTATGCTACTGACTAAATATCAGCACCCTGGGCATTTTGGTTATTCAGAAGAAGTTGTTTAAAGTTTTTAACATATTTGACCCCTGTGACCTTGAATATGGGTGAAGCTCATGCATTTGAACAAACTTTGTAGCCTTTCATCTCAGCATGCTACTGGACAAATATCATCATCCTGTGCATTTTGGTTATTCAGAAGAAGTTGTTTAATGTTTTTCACATAACAATTGACCCCTGTGACCTTGAATATAATTGAAGGTCATTCATTTGAACAAACTTGATAGCCCTTTACCCTAGCATGCTACTGGCCAAATATCATCACCCTGTGCATTTTGGTTATTCAGAAGAAGTTGTGTAATGTTTTTAACATATTTGACCCCTGTGACCTTGAATATGGGTGAAGGTCATGTATTTGAACAAACTTTGTAGCCCTTTATCTCAGCATGCTACTGGCCAAATATCATTACCCTGGGCATTTTGGTTATTCAAAAGTTGTTTAAAAGTTTTTAACATATTTGACCCCTGTGACCTTCAATATGGGTTAAGGTCATTCATTTGAACAAACTTTGTAGCCCTTCATGTCAGCATGCTATTGGCCAAATATCATCACCCATGGCATTTTGGTTATTGAGAAGAAGTTGTTTAAAGGTTTTTTTAAGACAATTGACCCTGTGACCTTGAATATAATTGAAGGTTATTCATTTCAACAAACTCGGTAGCCCTTCACCCAAGCATACTACTGGCCAAATATCATCTCTCTGGGCAGTTTGGTTATCAAGAAGAAGATGTTTAAAGTTTTTAACATATTTGACCCCTGTGACCTTGAAAATGGGTGAAGGTCATTAATTTGAACAAACTTTGTAGCCCTTCATCCAAGTTTGCTTCTGGCCAAATATTGACACCCTAGGCCTTTCGGTTATTAAGAAGTCGTTGAAAAGTAAAATATTGATGCCAGACGCCGGACGGACGCCGCGCCACGGCATAAGCTCACTTGGCACTTCGTGCCAGGTCAGCTAAAAATCATCCTGGTCCTTTTCGTTATTCTTTAGAAGTTGTTTAAAGGTTTTTTAGACGATTTTTAGAAGAAGATGTTTATGTTTTTTACATATTGAATCCTTGAGACCTTGAAAATGAGTGAAGGTCATTCATCCCAGCACGATACTGGCCAAATATCATCACCCTTGGCATTTTTGGTTTTTAAGAAGTTGTTTAAAGTGAAATATTGACGATGGAGGCCGCGCCACGATATAAGCTCACTTTGCCCTTTGGGCCAGGTGAGTTAAATATAGTTAAGCGTGGTAAAATGACATTATTTCATTACTCTTCCTCGTTTCAAAATACCTTGGACACAACAAAAGCTTGGACCAAAGAGGTTTATTTGAAATATATTTGGTCTGAAAGACAATCTCAGATGTGGACCAACAGTTACATAAGTACCTTGCATATACATGAAAGTGCACATACAAATGTTAGGTTATAAATGATTAAATGTGACAATTTCAGTTTGAATCACGACTTAAAAAGGCTGATACAAATATGTACGCAATAAATATTAGTAAATAAACAAAGTTTGTAATCAACTTGAATGAGATATGGACAGGAGATATACTGCCAAATTCACTTAACAGTGAACGCGAGGAAGCAACCACCCCTGTAATTTGGGGAGTGAGAGAGTTAACAACTGCATGATCGTACGATGCGACTAATAAAAAAAAAATGCAGCATTTGGCCCTCTACTTGGTAACAAAAAAGCGAAGGCAGTGGGTTCTGTTACCACGCCTGGACATTACAAAGTCAACTGATAGTTGTATTCCCTGCTTAACGTTCAGCATTCAGGGTAATGCCAACAACTGGTTCATTAGGCATGATATTTAGTGAGATAGCACTATAAAGTCGGCATCAGACCCGCGCTAGCTCAAGGAGGCAAATACACCAACATACCCTGTCTCCAGCACACATATACACATGTACGCTTTCACAGCATACATGGAGGCATGTCCATTTATGACCTTAGTTGTTCATAGGACGTTCAACCCTATAAACCGAAACCAAATCATTGGCATAAACAAGTTAATTATTTTACATGTATTCAAACGCAGTTACTTTTCAGGATATAAACTACGGTTTGGTTTATTATTGTTTAACATCCTATCAACAGTTATGGTCATTTAAGGCTGGCCTCCCCTGTGTGTAAGATGCATGGGTGTGTTTTGGGAGGCTGCAATCTGTTCATGTATGTCTCCTTGTAATAGTGCGGAATATATGCAGACCTTATAGTGCTACCCCACTGAAACATACTGCTGAAGACACCCAGCAGGACACCTCACCCGGTCACATTACACTGACAACAGGCGAACCAGTCGTCCCACTCCTAAATTAAGGAGCGTTAAGCAGGAGTAGTAACTACGGATTAACAGGTATTTCTGATCTTAATTGAGAATTTTTTTTTGAATGGCTTTTCTTCAGCATAAAGCAAGCAGTTCAAGTATTTTAACTTTATGAATATAACTGGTTTTACAGCTGTATACATCATACTGGTGAACAAAAACTGCCTCTAGGCCATTTTATTTTTCAAATTGGTCTCCAAAAAAAAATGTAAAACTATAAACCAAGATAAAATTACATATCAAATTGTAGAAGGTTTCCTCCAGTAGTTTCTGTGAAATAACGAGAACCCTTTGTTTTTTGAATCCGAGATAGCCGCCTTTTGGTAATCGCGGTTTTCAGATCGAAATTTACATGCACAACAAGAGACCAATAGGAACATAAATATACAGTTTTAGATAGATCCTTCCTGTTATTTCTGAAAATCTGCCTTTTGGCCGTCTTGGTTTTCTGATCAGTCTCAATATTTGATTAGCGTCACTAGGGACCATTGGTAACTTTCATGCGGAGTTGCTTAGAAACAGCGCTTAAAAATAATAATTGTCAAAAACAAGTTTTCAAAGTTAATTTTTAACTTGAACTATATATGAGAGGCAACTACAGTTAAACACAAAATATGGTTTGAAATTAATTTTACCACATGTGAACAATACTCAAGAATGAGATAAGGTTTGATTTCTTTCTCATTTTGATCTTCACTAAAAGTAACAACAAAAAGTCAAAATAAAATCATATTTGAAATTCTTTGGCTGCCTTGGAAACTTCATAGATTAAGAAACACAATCAAAATTCAAAATGGTTCAATCATGTTGAACCAAAATAGCAGTTGTATTAATTTTTGAGAAAATGTATTTAATAGTTATTCAAAAGAGTTAATATTGCATTACAAACGCTCACAAGACATTATTTCACAGATATTAAAGCTAAATTTCTAGGGGAGATAATTTCATCAAAGATTGGTACGATTTCAGCTGTAATATCATGGTCGTGTAAATACTGGGCTCGGTCTGTGTTGATCAGTCCCTCTAACACCGGCTGTAACAAATACTGGAGTGCCTGTAACAGAATAGTCAACTTAAGTCTCCGCACTTTGGAATATTGGCACTGTTTTTAATGTTTTGAAAAGGATAATTCTTGTGTAATAAAGTCAGATTTTTCCAAGTGGCATGGTTAATGCATAAAAGATATGTTTTAATCAATATATTTAGGCTTCTCTAAATCAACTGAAATCAATTTGTAGTTATGATGTAGGACAACCACATGAATCTATCTTATTTAAAATCTAGAGTAATTATTATAAAAGTTGTTTTCTCTAAAAAGCAAATCCCGGTTTCTGAAACTCGATTTAGAAATTATTGGTTTTCACTGATGTGTTTTGAGTCATGAATTTATTTTAACGATAAGTGCTGATCCAGAATAAAATATATCTACAAGGAAATTTTCAGAAAAAAGATACCAACCCAAAGACGTAAATTTACAACTTTTACCTTGTATTAATTATACTTTCATGCATATATTAATGACTGATGATCAATGAAAGTAAAACGGACGATTGTAATCAAACATGAAATAGAAAAAAATAACTGAAGTATCAACAAAATTTAATCATAAAAGAAAAGAGACTGAAATCTTATACTGACTCAATATACTTCATCTACCAACATTTCTTACAGTCAAAGACTCAATATACTTTATCTACTAACATTACTTACTGTCAAAGGATCAATACCCTTCATCTACCAACATTACTTATACTGTCAAAGGCTCAATATACTTCATCTACCAACATTACTTACTGTCAAAGGCTCAAGAGACTTCATCTATCAACATTACTTATACTGTCAAAGGCTCAATATACTTCATCTACCAACATTACTTACTGTCAAAGGCTCAATATACTTCATCTACCAGCATTACTTACTGTCAAAGGCTCAATATACTTCATCTATCATCATTACTTACTGTCAAAGGCTCAAGATACTTCATCTATCAACATTACTTATACTGTCAAAGGCTCAACATACTCCATCTACTAACATTACTTACTGTCAAAGACTCAACATACTCCATCTACCAACATTACTTACTGTCAAAGACTCAATATACTTCATCTACCAACATAACTTACTGTCAAAGACTCAACATACTCCATCTACCAACATTACTTACTGTCAAAGACTCAACCTACTCCATCTACCAACATTACTTACTGTCAAAGACTCAATATACTCCATCTACTAACATTGCTTACTGTCAAAGACTCAATATACTACATCTACCAGCATTACTTACTGTCAAAGGCTCAACATTCTCCATCTACTAACATTACTTACTGACAAAGTCTCAACATTCTCCATCTACCAACATTCCTTACTGAATATACTCCATCTACCAACATTCCTTACTGAATATACTCCATCTACCAGCATGACTTACTGTCAAAGACTCAATATAATCCATCTACTAACATTGCTTACTGTCAAATACTCAATATACTCCATCTACTAACATTCCTTACTGTCAAAGACTCAATATACTACATCTACCAGCATTACTTACTGTCAAAGGCTCAATATACTTCATCTATCATCATTACTTACTGTCAAAGGCTCAACATTCTCCATCTACTAACATTACTTACTGTCAAAGGCTCAATATACTTCATCTACCATCATTACTTACTGTCAAAGGCTCAATATACTTCATCTATCATCATTACTTACTGTCAAAGGCTCAACATTCTCCATCTACTAACATTACTTACTGTCAAAGACTGAATATACTCCATCTACCGACATTGCTTACTGTCAAAGACTCAATATACTCCATCTACTAACATTACTTACTGTCAAAGACTCAATATACTCCATCTACCAACATTGCTTACTGAATATACTCCATCTACCAACATTGCTTACTGTCAAAGACTCAATATACTCCATCTACTAACATTGCTCACTGTCAAAGACTCAATATCCTCCATCTACTAACATTACTTACTGGCAAAGGCTCAATATACTCCATATACCAACATCACTTACTGTCAAAGACTGAATATACTCCATCTACCAGCATTACTTACTGTTAAAGACTCAATATACTTTATCTACTAACATTGCTTACTGCCAAAGACTCAATATACTCCATATACTAACATTACTTACTGGCAAAGGCTCAATATACTTCATCTACCATCATTACTTACTGTCAAAGACTCAATATACTCCATCTACCAACATCACTTACTGTCAAAGACTCAATATACTCCATCTACCAACACTACTTACTGTCAAAGGCTCAATATACTTCATCTATCATCATTACTTACTGTCAAAGACACAATATATACTCCATCTACCAATATTACTTACTGTCAAAGGCTCAATATACTTCATCTTATCTTTATATTTCTCAAACAGGCCGTTCAGTTCTTCCCTGTCTATACCTGCAAAATTATTAGTTTTGATCTCATTATGTTTAAAAACAAACAGCAAAGTGGATTCATGACTAAACATCAACATAAATTGCTAATACAGTAACATTACAGATCAAGGAATCTTTAAAATCACTGGTCAAATTAATGAATGTAACAGCTAGCCCACCACCACCCCGAACACGCACAACTCCTAAGTCCTCGCCTCAATTCCCATCCTCAACCCCACCTCCACAGAATATAGGATGACACATCAAGAAATACACATTACGTGTATATGCTTGATGAATCCGCATTTCTGTTTATAGAGATTGCTTTCTAACTCCATCAGCTTATGTCTTACTACAGAGTACTTGCTGCTGATGACTTTGACTTTACATGTTCGTTTTTATGTCAAGCGGGAATGTTATTTTGTTTACTTGCATTTGAACATGCAGAGGACAGTAATATTATCAGCCTTTATTCATTTCATTATGGTTTTATCATACATTCAACACAAAGTCTTGCCACTTCTGATACCATGTGACATTTAGACAGGTGAATACATGGCTACGCAGGCAAACAATAATACACTGAAACTTTGGGGCTATGGATCAGCCATCCCTGTATTTCATAATAGGATGCAAACACATAGATTGATGATGTCACAACATTATGTGTACACATCAAACTGTTATTTAAAGGATGCATGAACCTTACTTTTACATAAAACGTCACGAAGACAAGGGGGAACAATTCAAAGTCTGAAACTTTAAGTAGCTTTTTACATGACAATTATAGGAAGGGGTTATCTCCAGAGATGGACTTATTGCAGGATTAATACAGTGTATACCTGATTCCAGCCCCGCTTGGTGACCAAGACGACTACTGGCCGCATCAATGTAGGCTGTGAACGAGGAAAAGTCTGATTTTCTTGCTATCTTTCTGAACACCTTCGCACAACTTTGGGATTCTGAAATACAACAACAGGGTACTTACTGTAGTATATCACAATATCTTGTTAATCTAGGTTCAAGTAATTCATATTTTTTTCCAAATGATTACAATCCAAAATGAATATCCTTAATATATTGAATCGTTTTGACCTGGTGCAAAAAGAAAATTACAAGGCAAATTCAATTCACAGGTAAAACTGTCAAAGTGTCAATGTCAAATTGAATGTATTATATTATTAGTTTAATAATTTGATTTGACATGGACACAAATGTAAGATTACATTTGATCATTTGAAACAAAAAAAATCAACACAATGATGTGTTATCAGCTGACTATATACTATTTAAAATCCAAAGTACTCCGATCATAGTACATTTGTATTGTTGTTCTGCACAGTGCAAAGTAGTTCCAGATCTTTTTTTAAAAAGAACAATCCTTAAATGCAATAAAAATAACAATGACAAAAATAACCATTTCAAATTCATTTAGAATAACAGTATATGTATCATGTGGTATAGTAAATGTAACAGGAAAGAAAAAAGTGTGCTTCCAACAGGGTTCCTAGTCGGATGCTCTACCACTGAGCTAAAGGGAAATTCCTGCTAGCTCGAAGCTAGAAGGCGATCGTAATCCTTTGAACAATTAAAATCTGCAACACTAATCCACTCCCCATTTTTAAATGTGTTTGCCCTCAAACACCAAAACCCAGGTTCTAACTCCCTGTCACCACAAGGAAGGCCACATATATCATTTGTAACAGGAAAGAGAATGGTGTTTCCACCAGGGATCAAACTGTGATCCCTAGGTTCCTAGTCAGACGCTCTATAAGACATCTGGGTAAATATGGACAGAAGGGCAAGTACAGACAGTTCTTATATGAATCATACATAATCCATTACATATGATTAAATCAAACCCAACTAATTAACTTACTGAGATTGTTTTGACTCCGGTTATCAAAATGAGGATTTTATGTTGATTTCTTTTTACAAGCAAACATCTGGTATTAGAATTAACACAATTAAACATCTTAATAGACTGTCAATTTACATTTTGGACTCGCCAATATCACAAAACCTAGCGGCATGGCAGTTGAATGTCATTGCAGAAAGTCTGTGACAGGGGGCGGGGGGTAAGTTATAATTACAAAGTGCCCTGGTATGTTATATGCTGACAGGATAAGAGCATGAACTTGGAGCAGAACATGTGGCAATACCTGGCGAAATATTGTAACCAGTTTCTATAGTTTTATTGGTCGAGTGCATGATTAGAGTAACTTATGCCATGGTGCGGCGTCCATCGGCCGGCCAGCCGGCCGGCTACCGAGTTTGTTTAAATGAATGACCTTGACTTATATTCAAGGTCACTGGGTCAATTATCTTAAACAAGAGGCCCATGGGCCTTAATGGTCACCTGATGTATTTATACAGAGAGTTGATTTTGTTTTTAACAAGAACAGAAATATTATTCAGTGACAAAAAACAATAAAATCACCTTATTCAATATCTAGCATACATATTTAAGACTAGAAATATTTGAAACTAGCACCTCTGATTCTAAACAAGGAAAATGGAGTAATTTTAGCACACTGACTCCTTTGGGCCCCACCCTACAGCCCTTGGGGGTAGGGCTGGCTCAAAACTTTCAAAGTATCAAACTGTCAACTCAGGGTTATAATTCCAATCAAGTTATTAACATGTAATATTCAAAGTATCATTTGCCATTATAAATTATAATAAATCCCCCCCCCCTCTTTCCCCAGGGGGTAAACGTGAGACCCTAGGGTCATAAACCTTAAGACCCTTCCATCTATGAAAAGTGTTTGATTCTACCATATCTGGGTGTTGAGAAGAAGATTTTTGAAATTTCAGTCAATTCAACCCTTTTTGGCCCCACCCAATAGCCCTAGGGGGTCAGTCAGGGCTCATATGTGCATACCATCAAACTGCTACCCAATACTGATAATGCTAACCTAAACTGAATTACCTCCAATGGCAATTAAACAAATGTTGGTCCAAAATGTGATTTCCCTATATAAACTATAGTAAAGTTTACCTCCTCCCCAGGGGGAAACGTGAGACCCCAGGGTCAGTATTCTAGCTGTTTCAATTTTGAATGTGTTGAATTCCATGGATATTAACACTGCTGATTCAGTATTCTAGCTGTTTCAATTTTGAAAGTGTTGAATTCCATGGATATTAACACTGCTGATTCAGTATTCTAGCTGTTGAATTTTGAATGTGTTGAATTCCACGGATATTAACACTGTTGATTCAGTATTCTAGCTGTTTCAATTTTGAATGTGTTGAATTCCATGGACATTAACACTGCTGATTCAGTATTCTAGCTGTTGAAATTTGAATGTGTTGAATTCCACGGATATTAACACTGCTGATTCAGTATTCTAGCTGTTTCAATTTTGAATGTGTTGAATTCCATGGATATTAACACTGCTGATTCAGTATTATAGCTGTTGAATTTTGAATGTGTTGAATTCCATGGATATTAACACTCCTGATTCAGTATTCTAGCTGTTCAATTTTGAATGTGTTGAATTCCATGGATGTTAACACTGCTGATTCAGTATTCTAGTTGTTGAAATTTGAATGTGTTGAATTCCACGGATATTAACACTGCTGATTCAGTATTCTAGCTGTTTCAATTTTGAATGTGTTGAATTCCATGGATAGTAACACTCCTGATTCAGTATTCTAGCTATTCAATTTTGAATGTGTTGAATTCCATGTATATTAACACTGCTGATTCAGTATTCTAGTTGTTGAATTTTGAATGTGTTGAATTCCATGGATATTAACTCTGCTGATTCAGTATTCTAGCCGTTCAAATTTGAATTTGTTGAATTCCACGGATATTAACACTGCTGTTTCAGTATTCTAGCTGTTTCAATTTTAAATGTGTTGAATTCCACGGATATTAACACTGATGATTCAGTATTCTAGCTGTTTCAATTTTGAATGTGATGAATTCCATGGATATTAACACTGCTGATTCAGTTTTCTAGCTGTTGAATTTTGAATGTGTTGAATTCCATGGACATTAACACTGCTGATTCAGTATTCTAGCTGTTTCAATTTTGAATGTGTTGAATTCCATGGATATTAACTCTGCTGATTCAGTATTCTAGCCGTTCAAATTTGAATTTGTTGAATTCCACGGATATTAACACTGATGATTCAGTATTCTAGCTGTTTCAATTTTGAATGTGATGAATTCCATGGATATTAACACTGCTGATTCAGTTTTCTAGCTGTTGAATTTTGAATGTGTTGAATTCCATGGATACTAACACTGCTGATTCAGTATTCTAGCTGTTGAATTTTGAATGTGTTGAATTCCATGGATACTAACACTGCTGATTCAGTATTCTAGCTGTTCAATTTTGAATGTGTTGAATTCCATGGATACTAACACTGCTGATTCAGTATTCTAGCTGTTCAAATTTGCATGTGTTGAATTCCACGGATATTAACACTGATGATTCAGTATTCTAGCTGTTGAATTTTGAATGTGTTGAATTCCATGGATAGTAACACTCCTGATTCAGTATTCTAGCTATTCAATTTTGAATGTGTTGAATTCCATGGACATTAACACTGCTGATTCAGTATTCTAGCTGTTCAAATTTGCATGTGTTGAATTCCACGGATATTAACACTGCTGTTTCAGTATTCTAGCTGTTTCAATTTTAAATGTGTTGAATTCCACGGATATTAACTCTGCTGATTCAGTATTCTAGCTGTTCAATTTTGAATGTGTTGAATTCCATGGATATTAACACTGCTATTACAGGAATCTAGATGTTGAATTTTGCATGTGTTGGATTCTAAAAGTAGTAACACCACTGGTATTCTATATGTGTTGATTTAATATTATACAAAATAATGTGTGTTTGTTAATTTTGTTTTACCTATATCACTATATTACTTTCATCTGTTCTCTAGAACGTGATGTCACAACTGTGCAATAAGTGAAGCACTTATTAAACTGATGGGTAACTTATTGCATTGTTGGTAAAACATACAGCTTACTGGACACTTGTGACATCATCACTATGTTTTAAGGAAAGTTAAATCTTCTTAAACAAAGTATTAATTTTTAATGCAAACAAGATTTCATCATTCTGTGCTGTATATTAACAGAATCAGAATCAAGTTACAAGTACTTGTAGCGAGAGTTCCAGAACACTTACTTGTATGGGTGTACAACTCCAGAATTCCTCGGTATCCTACATTCTTGGTGTGGTAATCATGATCTTTGGCTGTCTGCTGACCCCAGCGACCCCTGAAGTCATATTTGTAAATCATTATTAACCATTTCCAGTGTTTGTATTATGTCATGAACATTGCTACTGCATTGTATTGTTTCCCTGATCCTACATGTAGCCAGAACAGCATTATAGAGATATCACAGGTTAGTTTAAGTGTATTCAAGGGGAACGAAATTGCATGGAACTTGGTAATACTTCCTGAAGCCTGCATATTTACTTTTGCCTACGAGTGAAAACTACTGTTAGTCCCCAAGCATTCCGACATTCTTCATAATCTAACCTTGGAGTTTTCTAGAGCTCTGCTTAATCTGACCCGAGTATTCTGTTGGCCTTCCTAACCTAAACATTAAACATCTCACTATCCTGTCTTATCAAACCCCTGAGTACTGTCATCCTGCCTAATTTCAGCATTAAGCTACAATCCAAATTTTGATAATAATTAATAATTTGAGGTTCTTATATACCACTTTATCACAACCTAGTTTGTAGGTCATCTCAAAGCGGTTCACAAATTATTACCCGTGGTTACAGGGCCTTTGCAACTAGCCAATATCTTTCTCAACTACCTTGGAAGCATAGAGCCGGTGCTGCAATTTCGGTGCTCACAGCTAGTATTCAACAATTCTAGCACTGCCCATTCACATACTAATTTACAGCTGAGTAGACTGGAACAAGCAGAGTAAAGTATCTTACTCAAAGATACAACACAGGGCCGTGTTGTGACGTGAACTGCAACCCTTCGGTCACGAGCCTGGCATCCTACCACTAGACTACCATGCCTCCATTGATGAAAAAATATGAGACCTGATTAGTTTGCCATCCTGCTTATTCTGACCCCTTAGTATTACAATGTCTAATCCAGCAACTGAGTACTTCAACACACTGTACATGTCTCATTGGTGTCAACCTCTGAAACCTATTATGAGGGAGATTTCCCTCATTCCACATTTCAAATGAGGGAGAAAGTTCGTGAAACACGACTGAAACTGCATGTTTGTTTAATTTGTCTTTCACATTTTATGTATCAAAATAACTCCAAAAAGCATTCATTTGATTCAGACACACCTGTTATGATCATCATTACACACACCCTGCAGTAACTAGGAGATCATTTGACCACAGGATGCGGATTTTCCAGAGTGATTGGTAAATTTTGGTCAAAATGAGGGAGTCTCCCTCCTAATGAGGGAGGTTTGACAGCTATGTTGTCTATTCAGGCATAATGCAATACCGACGTAACCCAAGCCGCCATGATGAGCCCTTCTCACTGATCGTAATTATGATCAATAAAAGGTATCTAATTATGTCTTTCACCAGGAGATATGCACCAGCTGTTACTAAACATTGAATTACTTATTAATTGATATGTTTTTGTGAGCAAGTAAATGTTTGATGTAAAATATTACTAAAATGAATTGATGTATGCCGATATGCGCACACGTGTGTGTCATGTGTAATCAGATAAGAAAACAAACAACAAATTACACATTTTACGTAGTTTCTTCTTGGTTTTTAATATCATTTTACATCAATGAAAAAAAAATCATAAGAAATATATTTTTTTTTAAATATTCAGAGATCGATTTTCGGAGCATGAACATGTTTTTTTTCCCAGATTTTTGGGTGCGCAAAATATTCGAGTAAAAGCTTTTTTCCCGATTGTCAGCCTCAAAAAGTACCTGCGCAAATTACATCGGTTTTTACGGTAATACTAATATTGATGAAAACTACACAATAGACCTGCAGATTCCGACATCCTATCTAGTCTGACCAATGTGTCCCACATGGTGTCAGATTATACAGGTTTTCATTGTACTTTTAATAATTCATGCTTTAATTCTCTTAAAGATTCGTTATTGAATATTTAATTGGTCTGCATTCCAATAAGCTAGTATACATGTACCTGGTCTCCTGAGCAGCTAATCGCATAGCAAATGTACTGAGGCTCCAGCCTGGGTTATCTCCCCTGAGTCTCTGGTAGATTTTAGCCGTTGCTGCAGTCATTGGGAAGTTGAATGGGATCTCATTTGTGGCTGAAACAATACACATACAATTAAAGTATGATGGGACTCTGAAACTGGGCATGTTTTCCCTCTTTTAACAGTAACTCTAGAAAACAGCTTTTCATTTCCTATCTCCTTGAAATCAGTGTTGACTTAATTATTTTAATAGGACGATAAGCTTACCATTAATTACCTGTATCTATTGTTCTGAAAACTATAAATATCTAAATTGCCCTAGAATGTTCTGCTACAGAATAACTAAAGGAATATTTTTATGCATAAGATCTGTGTGACATTCAAATTAGAGATGAAATCAGTCTTCATTTAACAAAAAATTATAAAACTTTTAAGGATATTGTGTGATAAAATTGATCTGAAATGGAAATTTAATTCTTTCATAGTGATCATTAATTCATTAAATTGATGGCAAACAATAGTTAAGTTAATATATGTATCAAATAGGGGTCATTGTAGTTATTTTTCAGATCAGTTTCAGAATAAGCCATATATGGTTTAAGCACTATAAATAATTTCAAAGGGTCGCATTCATTCTTTTTCAACAGACATGTTATAATCACTGACCTTTGACCTTCATTCTGTGATAACAGCAGCTGACACAGCACAGTCCTCTGACGAAGTCCAGACACCGGAAATACTCCATCATGGTAGGCGTGAGGTCACCGCAACAATGTAAACCAATCATAAGAGCCCTTGGTGAGGTCAAGGTCAAGGGCTTCACCGGTTGTGTCAAGGTCGACTGTGGATCTGATGCTTTGTCAACCATGTCATCACCACACTCACATCCACCATTGAAATCTGGGGAATGTCTCAAAACCTGAACTTGCGTTTCTAAATTTCTATTTTGCTGACAAGAGCTACAAACATCGGAAAACTCTGCCGGTTGTTTCAATGTCAAATTGTCAATTTCAATGTCACATGCCTTGCATCGCTCAAAATAAGGATTTTTTATTACGATTGTGTGGCCTTCATGCTGAGAATTATATTTACATTTCTGACAGGACTCCAGATAGCCTGTTGATACATTACTCACACAATCTTCATCACATCTACGACCTTCAACTGTCACTGATAGGGGTTGTTTCAAAACCAAATCATCACAGTCTGGTTGTTTCAAAACCAAATCATCACCGTCTGGTTGTTTCAAAACCAAATCATCAGAACCTGAAATATTCTGTACAAATGTTTTGTTATCACATACATCGTCGTCACATTTCCCATCATTCTCACTGTTTATACACGTTTCTGGTTTTCTCACAGACTTGTCGGTGGCGATGCTCTGACCTTTTACATGACATGTATTGTAAACCAGTTCTGAAAACTTGTCCCTATTTTCTTGACCTTTTTCCAGCTCAAAAGTCACATTCTGTATTCCATTATTGTGATCTGTAAAAGGAAGCAAGCACAAGTATAACAGTAGTTGTAATAGTGGTGATGATTTGTGATGTATTTATCGCTGCTATAATAGTGGTGATGATTTGTAATGTATTGATCACTGCTATAATAGTGGGGATGATTTGTAATGTATTTATCACTGCTTTAATAGTGGTGATGATTAGTAATGTATTTATCACTGCTTTAATAGTGGTGATGATTTGTAATGTATTGATCACTGCTATAATAGTGGGGATGATTTGTAATGTATTGATCACTGCTATAATAGTGGGGATGATTTGTAATGTATTTATCGCTACTATAATAGTGGTGATGATTTGTAATGCATTTATCACTGCTATAATAGTTGTGATGATTTGTGATGTATTTAGCGCTGCTATAATAGTGGTGATGATTTGTAATGTATTGATCACTGCTATAATAGTTGTGATGATGTGTAATGTATTTATCACCGCTATAATAGTGGTGATTATTTGTAATGTATTTATCACTGCTATAATAGTGCTTTGAACAGAATGTGTACATTATGCATATTTATCAAGGCCTTAATACTGACTTCACAAAGAAAACAATTCATAATCAGGCTACAGACTGTAAGACTGGAAATTTTCTCAGTATAGAAATGTTTGTGTAAATATCAATATTAACATGCAATTATTCATTATTTAGAGTATATAGAAAAACAGAACATATATATTTCAGAACTAGTGCCAATGCAGACATTTTAACACCATTAACTCATTCACCCCTGAAGACACATATGAACTCTTCTAATTCAAATGTTGGAATAGTCCAGCATGAAATTTCAGGGGTGAACAAGTTAACAGTTTAAAGGATCACAACATGAACATTTCCACACACAGAAATTCCACTTTTCAGTAACATTACTATAACAAGACTTGTATTTTTCAATTACTTCAAATGAAATTATCAAAAATTGGAATAAGCTGCTTAAAACCTAGAAGCTTTAATATTTACTATTCATTATATTATATCAAGTTATCTTTAAGGAACTGTCTCCGTATTACAAACTCTCTTCTCTGTCCCGTAAATGTCTAACCTGTATAACAGGCTGTCATCTCTACCCTTAAAATGTATTACCTGTTTTACAGGCTGTCATCTCTACCCTGTAAATGTCTTACCTGTTTTACAGACTCTCTTCTCTACCCCGTAAATGTGGTACCTGTATAACAGGCTGTCATCTCTACCCTTAAAATGTATTACCTGTTTTACAGGCTGTCATCTCTACCCTTTAAATGTCTTACCTGTTTTACAGACTCTCTTCTCTACCCTGTAAACGTCTTACCTGTATTACAGGCTGTCATCTCTACCCTGTAAATGTCTTACCTGTTTTACAGACTCTCTTCTCTACCCCGTAAATGTGGTACCTGTATTACAGGCTGTCATTTCTACCCTGTAAATGTCTTACTTGTATAACAGGCTATCATCTATACCCCGTAAATGTCTTACCTGTATTACAGACTCTCTTCTCTACCCTGTAATTGTCTTACCTGTTTTACAGACTCTTCTCTACCCTGTAAATGTCTTACCTGTATTACAGACTCTCTTCTCTACCCTGTAAATATCTTACCTGTTTTGCAGACTCTCTTCTCTACCCTGTAAATGTCTTACCTGTATGACAGACTCTCTTCTCCGCCCCAGAGGTGTGACACTGCTTACTCTCAAATCCAATGATTCTGTAACCAAACTGTTTTTGCAGTATTTGTCCCAGGTATCCCTGTACAGAAATATAACAGACTAGACATGGCACCAATTTCAATATTTTAAACACTCTCAAGCCAGAAAGGGATTAGAATGGTACGTTACTAAAGATGAATAAGATGAACATTGTGTATTGTATATGTAAGGAATGTTTATCAATTTTATTTCAGTTAGGAAATATATATTCAGCTGACCGAGTGACTCTCTCTCTTTCATGCATGTACATTTGGAGCTGAAAATGCACAGCCAGACCGGGGTTCAAACCAGGAATCCTTCCAACTCTAGACAGACACTCGACCAGTTGAGCTACCTGGACCCAGTCCAGTTCCACTACACATGCATTTAAGCATTTAAGTGTGTTATTTGGGCAGCTACAGCTTTTCAAGCAAACAAATCATAATATGCCCTAGTGTATTCATTGTTTTACATGCAAAGCTGTGTCATTCACATAGACTATGAATAGCAAAGTTTAATGCTTATATTTACTGATTTTGAAGTACATTTTGATATTACAGAAATAGAGGATCTGTCATAAGTTTCACTTCATATTAGATTTATGATACAAGTTTTGGATTTTTCATGTAGGCGAGCAAATATGAAAAATCCAAAACAAGTACATAATCTAGTATGAAGGGAAAGGAATGACAGGTTCTTTTTATCACATAATACAAAGTAACCTGTATAATTGTGTTAGGAAATGAATATTTTTACACTTGGCCGCCTCTGAAACAATGAAAATGGTGTCCACTTCACAATGATGTGACGTCACATCAATTGTTCCTAGTCAAGTGTCACTTCATTTCCGGAGTGATATTACACAAGTTACATTTAACATAATTTATGTGATGACACTGCATAACACAGTTTCCATATGATAAAGTAAAATATGCTTAATAAATTGCTGTATTCACTTTGAATCAGTGTATGCATCATGTATGCTTATTCAATGGAAGTCAGTGGTTTCCAATGTTACAATTATGATGCCATAATAATGATGACGTCTTTACATGGGCTATGACATTTATAGTTTACATGAAGCCATCTGAATTTCAAAAGGTTATATTGTGGCAATGCCATACCATGACAGTGGTAAATATTGTCGAATAAATAATGATGTATTGTGGTCTGGAATGAGTTTTCACTGACAGCTGTTATCCAGCATTTTTAATCTTGATCATTGTTTTCAAATTGTTTATGGGTACCATTACTTGCAGTTATAGAAGGTTCTCGGAATGTAGGTAAGTCCCACAGGAAAAGTACTCAAAATGTAGGTAAGTCCCACAGATAAAGTAATCAAAATGTAGGTAAGTCCCACAGAAAAAGTTCTCAAAATGTAGGTAAGTCCAACAGGAAAAGTACTGAAATTGAAGGTAAGTCCCACAGGAAAAGTACTGAAAATGTCGGTAAGTCCTTCAGATAAAGTACTGAAAATGTAGGTAAGTCCCACAGATAAAGGAATCAAAATGTAGGTAAGTCCCACAGAAAAAATACTCAAATGTAGGTAAGTCCCACAGAAAAAGTACTAAAAATGTAGGTAAGTCCCACAGAAAAAGTACTAAAAATGTAGGTAAGTCCCACAGGAAAAGTTCTCAAAATGTAGGTAAGTCCCACAGAAAAAGTATTCAAATGTAGGTAAGTCCCACAGAAAAAGTACGCAAAATGTAGGTAAGTCCAACAGGAAAAGTACTGAAATTGAAGGTAAGTCCCACAGGAAAAGTACTGAAAATGTCGGTAAGTCCTTCAGATAAAGTACTGAAAATGTAGGTAAGTCCCACAGATAAAGGAATCAAAATGTAGGTAAGTCCCACAGAAAAAGTACTAAAAATGTAGGTAAGTCCCACAGAAAAAGTGCTCAAATGTAGGTAAGTCCCACAGAAAAAGTACGCAAAATGTAGGTAAGTCCAACAGGAAAAGGACTGAAAATGTAGGTAAGTCCCACAGGAAAAGTACTAAGTACTCAAATGTAGGTAAGTCCCACAGAAAAAGTACTAAAAATGTAGGTAAGTCCCACAGAAAAAGTACTAAAAATGTAGGTAAGTCCCACAGAAAAAGTATTCAAATGTAGGTAAGTCCCACAGAAAAAGTACTAAAAATGTAGGTAAGTCCCACAGAAAAAGTGCTCAAATGTAGGTAAGTCCCACAGAAAAAGTACTAAAAATGTAGGTAAGTCCCACAGGAAAAGTACTCAAAATGCAGGTAAGTCCAACAGGAAAAGTACTGAAATTGAAGGTAAGTCCCACAGGAAAAGTACTGAAAATGGAGGTAAGTCCTTCAGATAAAGTACTGAAAATGTAGGGAAGTCCCACAGATAAAGTAATCAAAATGTAGGCAAGTCCCACAGAAAAAGTACTCAAAATGTAGGTAAGTCCAACAGGGAAAGTACTGAAAATGTAGGTAAGTCCCACAGATAAAGGAATCAAAATGTAGGTAAGTCCCACAGAAAAAGTACTCAAATGTAGGTAAGTCCCACAGAAAAAGTATTCAAATGTAGGTAAGTCCCACAGAAAAAGTATTCAAATGTAGGTAAGTCCCACAGAAAAAGTACTCAAAATGTAGGTAAGTCCAACAGGGAAAGTACTGAAAATGTAGGTAAGTCCCACAGATAAAGTAATCAAAATGTAGGCAAGTCCCACAGAAAAAGTACTCAAAATGTAGGTAAGTCCAACAGGGAAAGTACTGAAAATGTAGGTAAGTCCCACAGATAAAGTACTCAAAATGTAGGTAAGTCCCACAGATAAAGTAATGAAAATGTAGGTAAGTCCCACAGGAAAAGTGCTCAAAATGTAGGTAAATCCCACAGGAAAAGCACTCAAAATGTAGGTAAGTCCCACAGGAAAAGTACTCAAAATGCAGGTAAGTCCAACAGGAAAAGTACTGAAAATGTAGGTAAGTCCCACAGGAAAAGTACTGAAAATGTAGGTAAGTCCTTCAGATAAAGTACTGAAAATGTAGGTAAGTCCCACAGATAAAGTAATCAAAATGTAGGTAAGTCCCACAGGAAAAGTACTAAGTTCAGAACTCAAATGTCTGTGTCCCAAAAATTACTGAGACACGATGCAGAGTGCGTAAGTGAGTATCGAGGATGTAATTTTCTACCCAGGCCAACATGGGTGATTATATAAGTTTACGTGTGACAATTTCCACTTTTACAGAAACACAAGTCATGCCAACAATTACAAAGTACATACCAGTCCCGACCCGATATCCAGGATGACGTCACAGTCAGCTCTGCGTGCCACATCATGCACAACTGATGACATCAACGTCACTTCATGTTGTTTCTTTGGTGTCATGCCTCGTTGCATTTCATGGTCAATGGTAACAGAAGTTGTACCTTTCCTTGGTGACCTAGGTAGGGACAAGGTCAAGGCTGTTCTGATGAAATTTTTCAGAGAGTCTGGCCATTTGTCCTGAAATAAAATCAAATGAGAAAATTTAGTGTATTAATATGAACAGAGTGATACCATCGAACAATACAGAAAAAAACCTTTTGGTTAATTGGCTCTTTGTATTTTAATCAGGTCGAGATCTGTAAACTAACACCTGTCTTTAAGATAAGATTCAAAAGATGAAGGCTACATGCTTTAACAAGGTGCCTCAATGAGATTGAGAATTTAAGGTAGAATTTGTTTAGATATTACTTACCCTGATTTCTCCATAAGGCAATTTGTTGAGATCTTCTGTTGACAGATCTAGTAGTACATCACACCACTGAAATAGATTAAAGTACACCATACAGACAGCTGTAGCTTAAAATATAATTGATTTTGGAGATGTTTGCACTTTGTATGTTTAATTTGATCAAGAGTGATCTGACAAATTTTACATTTTTTCTCGTTCTGTAAAAAGACATAAAACAAAATTTGTACCTCATAGATGGTTTGTGGTTTATATCCTAAAAATTCCTATTAACAGCCATGGTAAATTTTTAAGGACGTGCCAGGTTTATGGTGGTGGAGGAAAGCCGAGGTTCCTGGGGAAAAACCACCGACCTACAGCCAGTACCTCATAGAGCAAAAGAAACACTGATTTACATGCACACACATTATTCATCGCTGAATAACAGGTGTTTTTAAGTTTCATTCTGTATATATAACAACAGTATTGATAATAATATTACAATTACAAATTGTGATTCAAGTGTTTTATTCTTATATATATATAAGGAAATGAATGGGTAAGGAGAGGTAGAAGTCGAAATTCTTATTTTGAAAAAAAAAAAAAACAGTTTGTTTAATACTTACAATTGTATTCTCCAATGGCAATGATGTATCCTTTGTGGGTTTAATTTGCATGAATTGGGAAATTATTATTAGACAAACAAAATATTTACTTGCGTTTCTGCTATCTTCCTCAGACAAAATGTGCATGTATAGGTAGCTAGGTACAATGTATGCATTTTTTTTATTTTGGAAAATATTTGTTCTATGTTAGTGTAACAGCTAAGGTATATATGAGGGGGACATACTACCTCAAGCTAGCATTTCGAGTAATGCAGTTTAACCTGGGGATTCGCTCACTAAGCTGTTCAGCAACGTCGAGCATGGTCAGTAGTTAAATGGTTGACCGCCTGCACGTTACACTTATATAGCAGTAGTTCTGACTTTAACAGTGCATATCACTAAATGCCAATAAACATTTTAGGGCAGACACATAAATCTGGGATAGGTAGATATAGGGTTAGTGGAAACACAAGATTTTGTGAAGAAAAAAAGACAATGACTTATTGATTTGGTGTATGTCAATAAAATCCAACACTGGTTTACCATGGATACTTCTATTTTTGGGCTAGAGGGAATTTTCCTTCCGCACAATCTGTAGAGTGGCAGACTGGGAAGCTGGGGTTCTGGGTTCGATCCCCAGTGGAAACACACTACTCTACTCTCTCCTGTAACACTACATGTTCAAAGAGGCAGGTATGTTGCCTTCTTTGGTCATTTCTTTACAATACATCATCTAAAAGACTAAAACCTATTTATTCAATTAAACGTTATATGTTACAACGTCATATTTAGGACGTTTGGGGATGTGGTTGATTTTAATTTCTGTCACAAAAAAAACGGACCGTCCATTGTGCCAAAGTATGGCCCTTAAAATCATTCCTGTCGTTTTAACTGTGGTGATGTTAAATACTCACCTCGTTTGGAATGTTTTCCCACACTCTGTCCACAAAGAACTTTGTAAGTTGAAAATTATAAACCCAATCATACTTTGCTAGAAATTTCAAGATGAGTTCGTGGTTGTAACTTTCCATTGTTACTGTGATTAGGAAGCAAGCGTCAATGTTTCCAACATTTACGATTAAATAATCATAATCGACACCGACATACATAATTATTAATCAGTGACATGACAAAATATTGTTGCAAATAGACGGTACTCAGTCGTATCAAGGAACAACACGATCAGCAGAAGAAATTTTACAAGCGTCTCGTTGACGTTGACCGCTACGCAAACATAGAATACAAAACCGGATAAATGTCCGGAATAACTGTTACAGAAGCACTCTATCTGTCACTATTTTTTTATATATTTTTTATATTATTTTTTATATATGTTAACACATTGAAAATGTACACTTTTCTAATTAATATCGATACGAATTGTGAATATATAGGCTATAGGCCTAAACCTATAAGATATATTTTAAGTCACGTTTTAAAGGGGCATCACGGTGAAGTAACTTTATTTTTTGTCTTTCTTTTCAAATACTACATAAACATATCAAGTGAGACTCCTTATGGAAAATAATGATCGGATTTGGCTGAAATAGATTCATAAAAATGATTAAATCTAAGAAAATCATCGGTATTTCTACCTGTCTGACCAACGTTTTGTTCAGGGATTTCCTTCTAGTAGCGCATGCGCATAGCACACCATTTATTTGTAAATAAAATGAGTGGCCGTGTGAAGTAAGCGAAACCGTGTCAGCTACGAAACGAAAAGTTGCCAAATGGTCAAAAGATAGCACAAGGAGTACGTTACGGAATCATTATTGCAGGTTGGCAGTATCCAAAGGAGAAAATAACTGCCGTAGCAGTTAGTACGGTGCATGTATTCTTCCGGATAGCCGGTTAAGCTGAAATGGAATCGACAGAAATGCTAGCGCTGTTTATGTTATGAATAAATATTTAAAACTATTAAGCACGCTAGTATCTTTGTCTGAGTTTGAACACAGATGAACTTAGTTTAATATGTTAATGGGAATGTATTGGAGAGAGTTTTCTTTGTGTTTCTATAATTATACAGTGGTTTATGCGAAAGGAATGGATAAGTGATTAGTTAGTTTAATTTGCCATGAGGCCCTCCAAGGGATAACTGTTGTGATGGCCCACGGCGTATTTTCTGGGTCACCGAGATACGTGTTATCTAAGTCCGTGGATTTACATAATTTATAATATTACCGGGTTCAATAAAATGGTATGATTTAATTATATTGCTGAATTAAACGATTATTTTTGTTTTTACATGCAAGATTTAAATTAGTATTAATATGAATACCCGGCCTCCTCTGCCCCGGCAATATATTAAAAAAAATCAGAAAGGTTTGTCCAGGGACAGTATATATACGTCCCTGGTTTGTCCCTTGTTGTACGGAAGGTGTTTAGCCCCGTACCATCTGTACCGGCCACATTTCGGTGCTAAATTCAATATATATTTAAATATATTTACATGCAAGATTTACCTATTATCATTGTTGACATTTAATTGTAAATGTATGACGGGAGAAGGCTGTGATAAATTGTAAAAACTTGTGCCCCATCCCTTGTTTAATTTTATTGGCAACAAATTTATGTTTAAAGCTAAATAAATTTAAATTCTGAACATTGGCAAGTGTGCAATTAACTTCTAATGATGCATAATTACTGTTCAATAAGTTTGAATACGGACTTAGAAATCATATAACTTGATTTCTTAGTGCGGTAAGAAGTTGCAGTTGCCTAACGGCCCTTCTCTGTGGGCCCCTTTGGAAACAGTTTTATCTCGCTCGCACAACTTGTGTTTACTGCCTAGTCAGGTGACGTTATCGGCGCTATTTTTAGCAGGGCTTTCCCGAACAATTCAAGTGGTCAAACTGGACATTTGGAACGGACTATGAATATGGGGATAGCGAGGTAACATAAGCGGAAGTGCATACAATACATACATTCATTAAAAAAACCGTGATGTCCCTTTAAAGCTGACAGTGCAAGTTAAATATCACTTTTTTAAATTACAATTGAAAGCTTTTTAACTTGCGCTATCAGCTTTAAGAATCCCGTGCGCGCTACCGAAAACTATACATTTGGAAGCTGATTATATACATTTGATACATTATTTCTGAAAAGAAATCCACATCTCGCGGGACTTTTGTGGGGAAGTTGTATATATGAAATGATCAAGAAAATAATCAACAACAGTGTTCGGATTGAAAAGCAGATAGGCTGGACAATACTTCAATTGTTACGCCATCCTCGACATCCAGGGGTAACGCTCACGTTTGCTCTCGACACCCCTGGAATACGTCATAGCAAAATTGAAGGCCCAGTGTACAGCACCTTGTGGATGAGACGAGAAGACTAGTTCGGTCTGTTGGTGTACATCGAAAGAATCTTGCGGTCGCGTAACGGTAAACATTGACAGGCTTTGAAGTCGGGCATCGCTCCTTTGTAATCTTCAAAGGACAAGTATCAGCCTAGTGATTGGTCAGTTTTTTTTACCTGACACCAATCAAATAGCTGGCTGCGTGCCTTCAATTTTGCTATGACATATTCCAGAGGTGTAGAGAGCAAAAGTGAGCATAACCCCTGTAGATCGAGGATGCTGTTACGCTGTCGCTCTTAAACTGAGATACCTGTTAAACCGCGGATTTACATATAATTTGATTCCGTGGTTCAACAGGAGTGCATTGGTCCAGTTGTACTGCAGTTATATCCAAAATGAAATTCAGAGTGGGGGAGGGGGGAGGGGGTATCGCATACGAAAAACTACAGCGGGATTCTCTAGTGTTCTTGCTTTGGCAGAACAGCTCAGAAGAGCTACTTCTCAAGAAGAATACGACAATAAATTATCGTTCTGTAGCGGAACTGGACTGGGTCGATCGTCGGCGACCAGGTAGCTCAATTGCTAGAGCGTCCGTCTAGAGTTGGGAGGATCCCGGATTCGAACCCCGGTCTGGCCGTGCATTTTCCTCTCCTGTTACAGTTCGAACATCAAAAATACATATCACAATGGTGAAAAAGTAAACAATTAAAATCAAAATGATCAAAAACATCAATGTTTTATATCATATAAATATTATATAAGTATATGAAAATATAAAAAACAGCAAAGTTACGGATACATTACTGTTAATATTTACCGTTATAAAAAACAGAAACATGTATACGATATAATACGTTACAGATAGTAATATAAAATGCCTTACGTAACACACATCGTGGTTCGATTTAGAAAATATTACATAATAATGCATACAAATGCAGTTAAAAAGTAATTCCTTCATGCAGATATTAGGGAATGAGCACATAACATAACCACGCAAGTGTAAATTACACACGGTCCTGTACCTAATTAAAGATCGTTTCCTGTATTTTATGCAACCCTACATTTTCCTGTTAATTTTCCGCGGGTGAATTGCAAGCTACCGAAAGTACAATTTACTTTGGCAAAGAGAATTGTCTGAGTTTCTTCTCGCTATATTTTCAGTTCTTTCCCTTTTCCTTTCCAGAAGTGACGATTTAAGATGGTGGTTATTTTTGTTGCGCCATTGCGTTTCCTGTCTTACAAAACTTCACAGTAAAGTTTTAATTCCGATATTAAGTTGTCCTATCTTGAAAAAAAACTCTTAACGGTAAATTGTGAACGTAACATTTGAAGACGTATTATATAGGGAGACGATTTTGTTGATCGGCCCCATCCCCGATATCCAGAGGTTACACTCAATGTCGCTCTCTGCACCTCTGGAATATGTCATATCAAAATTGAAGACACGAAGGTAGCTGTTTGATTGGTCTCAGGGAAAAAAATGACCAATCGCCATAGGCTGATATCTGTACTTTGAAAATTACAAAAGAGAAACGCCCGACTTCAAAGCCTGTACATTTTTACCGTTACGTGACCGCGAGATTCTTTCGATGTACATCAAAGGACCAAACAAGTCTTCTTGTCTTATCAACAAGGTGGCGCACACTGAGCCTTCAAGTTTGCTATGACATATGCCAGGGGTGCAGAAAGCGAAAGTGAGCGTAACCCCTGGATATCGAGGATGGTCGTCGTGCCCTGTCCGGGCCTCACATTCAAGAACATCTGTATGTTAAATCGGACGATTAAGTCCAATTCTTAGTGTTATTTCACTGTATACCGTTAACAGGGGTTCATGTAATTTAACATTGTTTCTATATCACTGCCATCGTTACTTTTATCAACAAAATTATTAAAATTTCCATTTTTTTATGGATCTGTTCCATATAAATCATATTTCGCAATGCATTCTACTGTTTTTTTTAAAAAAAAATAAGTACAAAGAAACAAGAAACAAATAAAACTTCATTTTACGTGGATTGAAACTCGAGATCTATACAAGCCCGATCATACACATTACCAATATTGCTATCCACAAATTATCAAAGCACACCATTAAAACGAGAGATATATAACATGACAAGGGCGGTAACCCCGAGCCAGATTTTTTCTTTCTTTATTTGGAACTCTTCTTCGCGATTATTACGGGTGCAGTATTATCCGTTATGACCACTTTAGCCAAAATAAAGAGAACATGTATTTTGAGAGAAACAAATCTTTAGGTACACGGAATTTTATCTGTTCATATCCAAGTGAGGAATCGTGTTGGAACATGTTTATTGAGAGAACATTCATTTAGGTACTGTGAATTGTATCTGCTTCTATCCCCAGCTGGAGCGAGAGAGTTTTTAGCTCACCTGCCCGAAGGGCAAGTGAGCTTATGTCATGGTGCGGCATCCGTCGTCCGTCCGTCCGTCCGTCGTCCGTCGTCCGTCGTCCGTCTGTCGGCGTCAACTTTTTGCTTTAAACAACTTCTTCTCAATAACCAAAAGGCCTAGGAAGATGATATTTGGCCAGTGGCATGCTGGGATCAAGGGCTACCAAGTTTGTTCAAATAAATGACCTTGACCCACTTTCAAGGTCACAGGGGTCAAATATGTTAAAATCTTCAAACAACTTCTTCTCAATAACCAAAAGGCCCAGGGTACTGATATTGGGCCTGTAGCATGCTGGGATGAAGGGCTACCAAGTTTGTTCAAATGAATGACCTTGACCCACTTTCAAGGTCACTGGTGTCAGATGTCTTTAAAATCTTCAAACAACTTCTTCTCAATAACCAAATGGCCCAGGGTACTGATATTGGGTCTGTAGCATGCTGAGATCAAGGGCTACCAAGTTTGTTCAAATGAGTGACT